TCCCAAAATCAGATCTTCAAGAAAGTCAAAACTTCGCAAACCCATTCGTCAGATTCACATCTTACGCAAGTGTAATGCAATTCAACATTGTATAAAATGTCAATTCGAAAAGACCCCAGATTCATTAGAAACACAAGCCATGAATGAAATGTAGAAAGCTTGACGAATCTAACCTTATTTCAGGAGAATCCGCCTGCAAAACGAACAAAAAAAATCACCTCAATTTTTTCGGAAATATCAAACGAAGATCAACAAAGTAACGATTTCGATAGTCCTTGAAGTCGAAGCTTACCATCGCGAAGAGAAACAGTTGGGATCGAGACGGAGAGAATTAGGGTTCTACCTGTGAATCAATCAGTATTCCTTATTTCCCCCTTTGTCTACAGATGAATTTTTATTCTTTTAAGATTTTTATATTATACGAGTAATTATTGCATGTGGCAAGACTCACGTTTCTTATGGTGCATCCTGCAACAACAACTAGATTTTAATGCTCGGTTCGATTTTTGGTTTGGATACCAGAAATTAACGCCGAATAAACGTAATTAAGATATGGATCTGTCTAATGAATTTCCGGTCCATCTGAAATTACAAAAGGGTAGCATCATTATTCAAATTAAACAGTTTGCCTCCACTCCACACTATCTCTCTACCACTCCAAACAAAATATTTGAACGACAATCACAAAAGAATAAATAAACAACACAGTTAAATGTACAACTCACACAATACATTTCAGCTTTTTTTTCAAGATCATTAGAAACCCTGAAAAAAATTGGCTGAGATTTTACATTTTGACAGTTTTTTACGTGGTTAAAGTATCAGGAAGAGCCATGGAATGAGCACCAATGATCTTACCACCAACATCTGGGAAACTGTCGTAATCAGGAAGAGAGCTCACTTTACCTTCACTGTCTACTTGTAGAGGATACTTTATCAAGTGACCTTGTAGCTCTGCGAATTCCGAATCTATGAATCTTTTCCAGTTTTCTTCCGTGATTTCGTTTACGTTCTTCACGCATTCTAAATCACCTGGCTCCATGAATTCATCTCTGGTTTTGCCTAAATGCTCTGCCCATAGTGACATTCTGTATCCATACACCTGTGGATACAGAAATCATCAAAACCTCTTTAAGTGCTATTATCATCTTTTCAATCAGATTCAATGTATTTACTAAGTTCAAGAATCTAGAGCAGAAACACAACTTCTCAAGCACCTAATAAAACAGCAGCGGGTAAAATAAGAAGTGGTCTTTTTTGCAGATCGAATGCTACCTCAACCTAAGATTTCCTTTCTTTACTGTCTCCTTTTTAAAAAAAAATAGGATTCAGGTGGTGGTGAATTTCAGATTCAGTATATATAGGTTCAAGAATCTAGAGCAGAAACACAACTTCTCAATCATCTAATATGGCCACGGGTCAGATAAGAACGTGGTTTTTCGCAGATCGTATGCTATCTCAAACAAACTTTTCCTTTCTTTACTGTTTTTTTTTGTAAATTTACGATTCAGGTTTTTAAATAGTCACTTTTGAGGTTTGGTTTTGGTATAGATGATGATGAAGGGAGGAAGGCAAACCTGGCCACGTGGATGTTTGCCCTTGTTATCCCATGTATGATAGGGTTGATATGCGCCCATGGCTATCTCGGTATCTTTCGTTCCCGCCATTGATCTTTGGTTGATATTAGCAGATCCCATGAGTACATACTCATCATCTACTATCATCCCTTTTGCGTGCACGTAAATCATGAAACGCTGGAATTTATAGGAATCCGATACCTGAAAATGCAGTAAGAAGATCATAAGGAAATTGTTCCACTGATTATTATTGAATGCATGCATGATTTGCAAATACCGCATTGCCGTTGGTGGCTGGCGTATCATCTGGAAGTTGCTCTCGTTTACCAAGGCAATAAAAGTTAAGGTAATCAAGAGGATGAGCATCTGACTGCACCGATTTCAGTTCTCGTGCTATAACCTCATACATCGTCTGCATAGTTTGGCTCTGCAATCAAATATGTTTTTACAGAAATGTTAGTTTCTCGCGAAAAGAAATGGAAGAATCTATTTTAGTATCTGTGCTAATCTTACAATCAGCTAAAAATGTTACCTGCCAGTATAGAATTTCTTGCACAGGGCCAGACTTTGGGTCGCCTTCAGGCCACAATGGTATGACGACATATACAGCAAATCTTTTTTTAGCTCTAATTTTACTAACAATCTTTAGTGCCAACTCCATTGGAATAAGATTGTCAGCTCCTGCTCATTCACGAAGGATCCCAGTATCAGAAAATTCATGGGAGAAAAAAGTTCATTCACTTTTATTTATATAGGTGGAGAATACATTCCAGATAACACTAGGTGAAGATAGAGCCTAGAATACAAAATTAGCAACTGAGAACAATTACACAGTTTATTCTTTTAGCCTATGCAATGAGAGCATTTTATTCTGAGTCTAAGAACTGTCGTCAAAGATCAAGACGTACCTGCATCTTTATAAGAAGGCCAAGCATAAGAAGAACCCAGGAAATACTGATTCTCGATATATATGAAATGCTGAGCAGATCTGATTGCCTGGATGTATGCAGTCTGAATACTTTTATCTACTACAAGACGCTTGGCACTTTCCAGATGCTGCAGTAAATAAATAATTTTGGAGACTTGATTAGTGTAACTTATACCATGTGGCTACAGTGGCTTATAAACAGCAATCCCATTGAATAACTTTTATTTCGTCGATGAACATTAGTAATAATAGCAAATAAGTTGATCTACTAACCTGGGCCTTAGCCTCATCTTCAAATTTTGGAAATCCTTTCACGGATCCTGAGTCGATAGAACGGAATACCTGAAAGTGAAAGAAACCGCATGGTTCAAATCAACCAAAATTTACTACATGAGAAATATTGTTTGGAAGGAATATGGAAATACCTGAACATGCCAGTTCTCAGGATCATCTTCTTTGGAAACATAAACAAGTGGATCGTCCTTTGGAACAATTGTAGTACCATCCTTCAAAAAATCAAACACTGGGCTTAGAATCCATGAGATGCGTCCTATCCGGATCAAAGCATCATCTTGCCAGTGAGTTTTCCCCTTTAAAAGTAAGCTAAACTCTTTCCATCGTGTTGCCTTTCTCCACCTCTGTTCAAAGTTTATCAGAACATCATATGCTGCAGGCCCATCTACCCTACAGTGCAAATCGTGCCAAGGTTGTCTTGGAGCCTTGGTACCAGCCTGAGGAATTAGAAACATAAAACATATCAGGAGGAAGTATGTCATTAGGATTCTAGCTTGAAAACAACCAGCGAGTAATCATATACTCACTGGAAACGTAGGATTGTGAAAATCATCCTTAAATACAGTGTCAAGATCGTGTAATATCCGGTGCTCAGGTGTGTCATAGCGGCCGTCACAAAGATCGATACCTCCAAGAAAAGCTGTGACCTTGCGATTATTACCAGCAGCCTGAGTGTCTACAAGAACACACTTTTGATGGTGCGTGAAGAGAGTGCCAACAACCTGGATATTAAACAAAGCACTAAACATGAGAGAGAATACATGCAAATCCATGGAAAGATGATAGCTATGCTAAAAACACATGGCCACAACAATTTGATACCCACATGTAAGAAGATCAGTTAACTACGTCAACGAGAAACAATGGCATAACATGGATTAGAGTCAAGGCAATTTCCAAGACATCTCTTAAAATTGAACCCAAACATCCACCTTTTACTAATTTCCCAATTTCATGATATGGTACTAAACCCATTGCTAGAAAATCTCATAAAAAACTACAATGAACATATGATCTGAAGAGCTAGGACTTGCCTGTTGTTTGAACAATCCAAGCTTGCTGCTGGCATAACGAGGTGACAATACGCATATCACAGAAGAATGCTTGAAGAACTTCCTAGTCTCTTCATCATGTGTCCCCATAACTCCAGCCTGCAAAAAGATGATAGAGTACCATAGTTAATCTTTAATGTCAAAATTACCAATCGAAAACATAAATTATCCTCACAATAAACTCCAATTCTTTCAAATTTGGCACTCAGCAAGAAACCTACCATTTGCAACTAGTAAACTCTAAAGCTCAAAATTAGCAAACTTTGCAAAAAAATTCTCCACAGAACACAACTCACCGTGCTAATCCCGAACTTATCATGAGAAGTCTTATCGTCCCATACAAGAAGCAAAACTCGAACACCTTCTTCAGATTTGTATTTGAGCAATTCTCCAAGCGTCAAATCACCACCTCTTGGTAATTTCCTTGTAGGTTCCCTAACCAGCTTCACCTTGTGAAAGATAGACCAACCAACAATGTAAATCATATGGTGAGCCTCAGATATTGCATAACATATATCTTCCCAACACTTCCCGTGCTGGTAAACCTTCTTGTTATCCAACGCAATCTCCGGCAACATTCCGTCCATTACATGAGCGTCTTGGTAAAGCCTCACTTGACTTCCTTTCCTCAAAGGGAAATAAGTCCCTTCAACACCTTTACGCTCCGGATGACCGGCGATTCCATTCCGATACGTCTGGATCTGATCGAACGGAGTAAATGTCATATCGATTTCGATTGCAGTATCTTTCTTCGGCTGTTTTCCCGATGCTCCGAGTACAGGAAACCAACCGGAGATTCTCTTCCCTGATGCGATTTCACTGACAGGGATCTTAGCGGTTCCGATTATCTGAGCACCGAACACATCGTCGTCTTTTACCTGAAACTCGAGATAAGAACAAGGATGCGCAATGGAAATGTTGAAATGCTCTCCCCATTTAGGATCCTGTGCGTTTTTCAAAACTCGAGTCCGAGCAAGAGTCGCTTGAGGGACGACGACGGTGACGTACGGATCGCTGGTGATAACCTTACGATGACCATGGATCTTCTTATCACCGCCTCCGTCTCGAGGATCTTCGTTAACGGAAGGCTTGATACAAGAGTTACAAGGCGCGAAACAACGACGGAGATGCTCTGAGAACATATCCATGTTAGGTAACCCTCTCGCTTGTTTAATCGTCAATTTGAGATCACCGTGTAAAAGCATCGAATCCTCCGATGCTTTCTCCGTCGCCATGTTTACAAATCAAAGCTACAAAAACCGAAAACCCTAATGAACAGGGCTCGGTTTGTTGTTGCTGCAGAAGAAGAAAAAAGAAAAGATTGAATTTGAAAACTTTTTTTTTTAAAGATATTTATTATTTTAGGTGAAATGATTT